TTCTCCTTCTTCCTCCTTCTCCTCCCTAGACCTGAAAATAACTGCTCTAGCTGCGATTCTGTGCGGCTTTTATACTCGCAGGCAACACCCCCCCCCCTAAGGGGTTGCGCCCCCCCTATCCTGCCTCTCCCTCCCTCTCTCTCTATCCCTCTCTCACCCCCCCCCCCCCCCTAGGGCGTTGCGCCCTCCGTACCTGGCCGTACCGTGCATGACTCATTGCGATGTCGCAACCCGCCCCGCCCGTGGCTTGGCACCGATTATTGCGTCCTCGCCGGTAACTCATTTCTAAGTGAATATCCCTCGTTTTCGCCCGACAGGCGGCAGCAGCAGTATGATCCAATATGGCTGCGCCCAAGGGTGTGCGTGTTGACATATCTTTATGTGTAATCTATATCTTATTCTTTCTTTAGTCAATATATATCGTTATTCTCTCTATACGGTGAGTTCAGTCTATTGGTCCCGATCTAGCCTACTACTCCTGTACGTGATACACCCCCCGAGATCTCCACAATATCATCAAAATAGGAGACCTCTTATCAGAGTTTGGATAACTGCAATGGGATATGAAATATAATATTATATGCGTTATATATCTATTAATATTGAAAGCGATATATAAACTTATCTCTTGTTATATATCGGACGTCCCCGCTAATGCGCCGTTCGAAATGTTTATTATAGCGCTCGTTAGATGGCGCGCACGACAATGCAAATGGCATCACCCGTTGTGGAAATGTAGTTTTACAACTTCTATAAGAAACTGTGCCGAAGAAGAAGTCAAAGTTAATGCAATTGATAGCTCTGCACTGCGGTCATATCGTCAACAACGACATCAAAAATGTAATTTGCTCTCTGTATCTGATATTCACTGATTTTACAATTACTGAGTCGACGCACACTGTTGGCAGTGTTGCCACGGTCCCTCACCGTGTCAGGTCAGTACGCTGCAGTGTTGGTGTGCTTACTTAAGGCAGTGGCTACGGGTACGGTAGCCGTATCTTAATGTCTCGAGGCTACGGGTACAGGAGTCCATTCGCTTTCATACTTAAAGCCTAGGACACACTGTGCGATTTTCTACGCTGGCCGCTTGCGATCGATAAATACGGTGCCGGGTTCGCGCGGTGTGTCCGGTCTCACGGCAGCGTATTTCGCACGCGATCCCATACGCCCGGCTGATCGCTCGCATTCAGCATGTTGAATATTTACGCACATCGCTTGCGTACGGCGCATGCGCTTGCATGCGCTTCACCAGCTAGCGCCAGCGCGCCCAGCAATGAATCATCGTTTTCGAAACATTTCGAACGCGATTGTTTTTAGCAGCCAATCAAGTGTAGCAACGAGAGCTTGGAAGCAGTTTGACACCGTACAGTGTGTCCAGCTGTCCGCGGAACTGGTACGGCGTTCTAAAATCGTGAACGAACATATACGCTGCCGGGCAGCGTACAGAATTGCTAGTGTGTCCTAGGCTTAACGAGACAAAGATGGCGGCGGTGGCGCCAGATTTCGAAATAACGCCTTGGGAAATAAATTCACGATTTGAGAGTTTAGATAAGCTAGAACCCTAACCCTAACCCTAAACCTAATCCTAGCCCTAACCCTAACCCCAACCCTAACCCTAACCCTAACACAAAAAAGGGGCTTCAACGAACGACGGCTACCGNTATATATATATATATATATATATATATATATATATACAGTGCTCAATTTAGTGAATGGGATAGTGATAGTGAACGAGATTGGGAATGATGAGTCACTAATTAGGCACTACGAAGGAACAATTGGTGTGCTGAAGAGACAGCTCAAAACTGCGCATGTGGGTATTAATTATCAAGCAATCTAACGAGCGTCTTGCCTCTAATGACTGTGGTCATCGTGGCTCGATTCACATGTTTACAAACAACATACTTTTTCTTACTCGTCTACGTTACGCTATGTCGGCGTGCTAGTCGACAACTAGTTGTGGTTCTAGATTTCAGCTTTATTCGTTGGCTCGTCAGAAGGGAAATATTTCTTGCAGATG